TTTCAGAATTGTATTATGCAGGAATATGTCTTCAAAGCCAGTGAGGGGACTTAGCTTGACTTTATATACAGTATTGAACTTTCTAATTCATGAATGCATGTTGCCTCTCTCTCCACGGAGTTAAGCCCTTGGTTGCCTATGTCAAAGCATTGTTTTTCTCCATAAAAACATCACTTTTATTTTGGTGGGTTTGTTCCTATTTTAAAGGTATATTAAGTAATATGTAATATTTTTATAGTGTATAGAAATACAAAAATAATATTTTGGCCATCAACAACTTTTGTATATTCTGAAGGCTAATTATTATTTATGGATTTATGTTTGCATATGAATCTTTGTGTGTTATCACCAGCTATTCCTTGCTCAGTGTTAACAGGTCAAGAATTCTTTGTTTTTGTTTTTGTTTTTGTTTTTTTGGTCAGTCGTGGGGCTTGAACTCTGGGCCTGGGCACTATCCCTCAGCTTTTCAGCTCAAGGCAAGCACTCTACCGCTTGAGCCACAGCACCACTTCTGGTTTTCTAGTGGTTTATTGGAGATAAGAGTCTCACGGACTTTCCTGCCTGGGCTGGTTTTGGACTGTGATCCTCAGATCTCAGCCTCCTGAATAGCTAGGATGACAGGTGTGAGCCACCGGCACCCAGCCAGGCCAAGAATTCATAATCGTAATGAAGTCTCTCTGTAACTCAACATTTGTTGTCAATATGATTCATCACTTGCTAAATAGATTTTCCATTATTAAAAGTTAGTGTACTTTATGAAGTTCTTATACCAAACCACATAATCAGTTAATAAGCTAAATAACTGAAGCAATATATTTATATTTCTATGCTATTGTTAATATGTTGGCATGTTGATATGCTAATTACTGACTTCCAGTGTTAAGAACAACCTTTAATTTCATGGTTACAGTGTATTCTTTATTTACTGCTGGATTGAATTTGTAGCTGTTTTCTATAGTCACTGTGTTTTAATGATTGTGAATATTTGCCAGCATCTTCCCTCTAGTTCTGTCCCTGTCAGGCAATTGGTTAGTTTGATATTGGGGGCTCTGGGTCAAGGGTAGGCTTTCTGTGTTTTTTGCCTTTTAAAAACAAATTTGGCCACATCTCCTGGTGAAGTTGCCCATCAGACCTTTCAGTTTTCTTTGTGGGAAGATTTGTTTACTAAGTAGATTTGTATCATGTTTATAAAGTTACACTTTGTAGGAAACTGAACTCATTGAAATATTCACAACCCCTGACGTAAAACCTTTCATAGTCTTGTCAGAAAGCCTGGTACATTTCTGGTTGTTGTTCACTCCGTTATTGGCTGTTTATACCTGCTTTTGTATCTCATGTCCTCCTTTTTTTAGATTTCTTTTCAGTCTATGAATGCTTATCTTTGAGTGTTGGCCATTTCCTTGCTAGAGGGTTCAGGAAGCCTTTATTCCCCACCACTGTAAAGAAAGCTGCTTTCCAGGAATCGCATCCCTGTGGTGGCCTTTGTACTGAGGTGCTAGGTGACTGGCTCCTCTCCAGGAGTGTGAAAGAAGCCCATCCCTTTATGGGCCTCTCTCCTCCCAGTCCTGGAGGCTCTACGAGGATGCTCTGTGGAGCCAGCAGAGCTGTGCTAGGGAGGCCGGGAAGGACCCCAGTCACAGTACAGTGTGTGTCCCCGGTGGCTATAGACATGTCTCCAGTGTAAGCCATGCCACCCCTTCTGAGCTCCACCCTGAGCGCAGAGGACTCTGAATTCTTACCTCACCCTGTCACTTTGCACCCTGAAGTCAGCAAACTTCTCTTTCTCTCGTGGTTCCTTACTTCATAGACCATTTCATCTGCCCACTCAATGGAAGACTTCATGGTTCTTAGGACTTTCTTTTGTTCCTGTTTTGCAGGAAAGAAATTCGCTAGTGACGATTCCATTTGTGTGCTGGGAATATGTAAAAGAAACCTTGTCTTCCAGCCTGTGGCCGAGCTGCGGCAGAAGACAGATTTTGAGTAAGTCCATGAGATGCTGCATGTGCACATCTCATTGCCATTAAAGGGAAAGAACGCTAGGAGTTGTGGGTTCAGTTACTGTAGGTAGTACCGTAGTCACCTGTTTTTAGGAATACATTAACTTTTTTCTTTTCTTCCTTTTTTAAAAGGCTGAATTCGGAGTTGGTTTGTTTTTTTTTTTTTGAGTGTTTTGTTTCATTGAATCATGGAAAATCTAGAGGCTAGGTTTATTAATTAGAAATAAAAACACTCAAGAGGATTGATTGGCTTATCCAAAGGGATATATAAATACCAGGAACAGCTAACATGTAACTGACAATGTAAGTGTATTCTTTTTTTTAAATTCACTACAATTTTTTAAAATTATCTTTAAGTAGTTGTACAAAGAAGCTCCCACTCTACATACATTAACTTTTTTCAAGTGAGGATAAAAAACAATACGCTTTTACCCTTTGGAGATGTGGGGTGGATTTTTTTCCCTGTTTTTTGGTGTTGCGTGTGCCGAGGTTTGAATTCGGGACCACATTCCTGAAGCTATGAGTTGTACCACTTGAGTCAGGCCCCAGCCCTTTCCCCTCTGATTTTTCAGGAAGAGCCTCATTTCTTCCTGAGCCCAGCCAGACGGTGATGCTCCTGTCTCCTCTTCCCAGGTCACTAGCATTACAGAGGTGCACCGTCGTGGCCAGCACTTTTAACATAAGGTCTTGCTAAGTTTTTGTTGGGTCTGGCCATGAAACCATAATCTTCTCATTTCAGCCTCCTGTGTGGTTGGGATTACAGTCATGCACCATCATACCCAGCCTTTTGGGTTTTCCGATGTTAAAAAAATAATAACAACAGTTTCACTTGACTAAAAATGAACTGCCTTATTATCCAGGCAGCTTCACAAGTAAGAAGTCTGTTGTTCCCGGGACACTCGGAATCAACGTTTATAAGTGGCCCGTGTGGTCATTACTGCCGTCTTCTCTCCCTGCCAGGCACAGAATCCCCAAAGAGCAGTGGTGGCTGAAACTGCGGCCCGTCATGAAGATCCTGGCCAAGTACGAGGCCAGCTATGACGTGTCTGACTCAGGCAAGCTCGAGCCCCTGCGTCCCCGGAGCGGCCACGGCCACGGGGAGCCTGCGGCCATCTGAGTGTCACGCGCGCCCCAACCTCTGGACCCGCACATGCATCGCATCTGGGCGGCCTGCAACGTTCCAGGGACCATTCCTGTTTTGTAACGTTTAAGTTATTTATCAGCACTTTATGCAAGTATCGTTGACCAAGTACCGTCGGCAGTAATACCTAACCAGAAAGCACCGGTCACCAGTCCCGTCACCAATGTCACTCTGACACCCCCCGCCACAGCCCCGTGAGGAAACCTTCACGCACTCGATCCAGAGTCGGTCGTCTACCATGTACTGTCTCGTGCTTTATAATGTGTGTATCTAGTGGAATTAAACGTTTGCCTAAAACTCCCACGCTCCCTGGGGTTTTGTTTTAAGGGAATATGATTCTTCCAAGGCTGCTTCTCGGTGGTCCCTGAACGACCTCTCACCAGTTCCGTGGGCAGAGGTCAGCAAAACATCAAAGTGTGCAAGTACAAATTCATAAAAGGAGGAAAAAAGACAATGGCTGGATAAAATAGCAACTGTAGCAGGCAGGCAGTAGGCAGACATGGACTCCAGCCTGGCCTGGTAAGAGCTGAGGTGGAGACTTACCCTGGGTCAGGTCATGTGATACTGTTGATGATGCAGGTGGCTGAGCTTATGGGACTGCAGGCTCACACTCTCCGTTTATTTGTTTGTTTGTTATTATGCAAGTGATGTGCGGGGGTGGGGGATGTCACAGTTATATAAGTCAGGTAAGGAGTATATTTCTTTTTTAAATAGTGGCACTCTTCCCTCACTGTCTCCCAGTTTTTCCCTCCTAGTTCATCCCCCGCCCCCAGTTCATTTTCAGTGAAGTACCTAAAAAGTATCTCTGCTGCATTTGTTCACCCTTTGTCCCACCATTTCTGTGTTTCCCCTTGTCCTCCCCCAAACAGATAAGCTCACAAGCAAGACAAAAGGTACAGTAAACAAAAACCACAACAAAGGAAAACGAAACAGCAACAAAACCCCTCATTCCATTTTCTGGAGCTCATTTCGGTAAATATTTTATATGATCATATGCACATAGTTATTGATTACAAAGGCTCCATACTCGGCTTCTAAAAGTGAGACAGGGCGTACAATTCAATCGTGAAAAAAGTGTGAGCCAGGTACCAGCGGCTCACACCTGTCATCCTGGCTACTTGGGAGGGTTGAAGCTTTAGACTCGCTTGGGCAGAAGAATTGCAAGACCCTTTCTTAACCCATAGCTGAGTACAGTGGTACATGCCCCTCATCTTAACTAAAGGGGAGCAGAGCTTGGGAGGCCTTGCAGACCAGGCCAGTGTGAGAAGAAAGTCAGACTTTCCACGGGAGGGAAGCCAGACTCGTCCCAGTTAACTAAAGCTGAAGTAGGACAACTGTGGCTCACGTGTGCACCCAGGTGGAAAAAAAGACCCTGTCTCAGAAACAGGCTCGGGGCATGGCACAGGTGGTAGAACACTTAACCCAGCAAGTGCAGGTTCTATATTCGAACCTCAAGTACCACAAAAGTAGGCATCTTATACTCCCTTGATTCCAGTCCTATTTCACATTAAAAACCATCAAGGAGTTTTTAAGAACTTGCTACCAGCCGGGTGCTGGTGCTTCACTCACGCCTGTAACCCTAATTACTCAGTAGGCTGAGCTCTGAGGATCGCAGTTCAAAGCCAGCCAGCCTAGTCAGGAAAGTCCATGAAACTCATCTCCAATTATCCACCTGAAAACTGGAAGTGCTAATGGCTCAAGTGGTAGAGCGCTCACCTTGAGCTGAAGAGCTCAGGGACAGCACTCGGGCCCGACTTCAAGCCTCAGGACCAACCCTCCCTTCCCCCCCCTACTCCCCCCCCCCCCCCCCCCCCCCGCCAAATATCACTTCTTTTAGTAAAACATAGTGACTGAAGCACAGGTACAGCAGTTGTCTTTTATTTTTAAAATAAATGTTCTAAGATTATAAAGTTTTAAATTGCTAATTTATTCATATTTGGCATTTAAGACGTGATCATGTCAGTTAATTTCTTCAGCGTCATGATATTGCCTTCGTTAAAAGTTCTTGTCTAACTTGCCAGTCCACAGATATCTTTGGCCACATTTTAAGAATGACATCGTGCTGCAGTTATGTTTTTGTCCTTTGAAATGGAGACCTGTCAAGCTCAGAGGCTTCATTCTGAAGAGCCACCCCTTCCCCACCACCGTGTTATGTCCTGAGTTTGAGTCCAGCCTGAGTGGTCTGCTATCTTATTAACCATGATGGGTCACAAATACTTGTGGCCGCTATCTTATTAGCCACGATGGATCCTTGGAAATTTTCGCGTTCTCTGGTCCAAGAATGGCCAGCCCATGTGTGCTCTTCCCAACGCCAAGGTACCTGAAAGGGAAATGGCAAATTAGACTGTTCCCCCATGAAGCTTTTTTGTTTCTTTTCATTCCCCTCCCAATACTGGGGCTGGAACTCGGTGTCTGAGGCTAGCTTTTGCTCACTGGTTGGCACTATGACCTGAGCCACACCCCCAACCCCAAGCATTTTGAAAAGCTCCACAGGAAGTCCTCCCATTTCTGAATTCTATCCTCCTGACTGAACACAGGAAGTCACCCACACACTCACTTCTGGCTCACGGCTGTGAGTTGGTTGTGGCTCACGGCGAAGAGCTGTTCCCTGTGTGCCTGCTTCATCTCATCAGAGAGACCAAACAAGAAGTGATTCATTCCTAAAAGATAAAGCACAGGTGCACAGTAGATGGTGGGGAGATGCTCTTGGTTCTGTGCTCATACACAGTGGGGACATGGTTGGTATGGTACGTTTCAGCCAGAGCATTCTTATGGCCTAGAGATACAACACCAATCTAACACCTAGCACCGGGCTCTGTGGACCCCTGCCCCAGACTCCCATTTTTGGTATGTGGCCAAGAATAGTAGGCAAGGGTCACATAAGGCTAACAGTGTTGGGGACAGGGGCACTGTCCTGGTACATCACAAAGCTCTTCATCTCTACCCTGCGAGTACATTATTGTGGGCCACTGCCTGGCTTTGCTGGGAATTATTCAGGTTCTGAAATAAAAGGATTTAATTCCTTTGTTAGGCAAATACTGGGAGACTTTTTTGTTTTTGTGTGGGTACCTGGGCTTGAACTCAGGGCCTGGGTGCTATTCCTTGCTTTTTTTTTGCTCCAAGCTAGCCCTCTACTACTTGAGCTATGGCTCCACTTCCAGCCTTTTGTTAGTTGATAAAAGTCACACGGACTTTTCCCTTTCTGGGCTGGCTTTAAATCATGATCCTTGCATCTCAGCCTCCTGAGAAGCTAGGATTACAGATGTGAGTCACTGGTGCCCAGCAAGAGGCTCTTGATTGCATGTCAAGAAGCATGTTTTTAAGGCCCAAACTGAGGCTGTCAAATGTGACAGTCTTATCAAGAAGGACACACATGGGAGAAAGTGGCCAACTTGCTATCTGTGGTCTATAGAAGCCAGGAACCAAGCGACTCAGAAAGCTATGGGGGAGCTGTTTGTGAACACCATGTACTGAGCTTTTCATGGCTCATGATACCTTTGTTAGAAGGAGCAACAGGCCCATCCACCACGGAGAACACAGACAGTTTGGCTTCATCAATGTCCTGCTGTGTGAACTTTCCAGACTTAGCCCAGTCCACAGCCTTCCCAAAAGACTGGAGTGTTTCTATTGAGTTTGGATCCCTAGGAAATCCAAGGAAATGGTGAAACTTTATTTTTTTGTAACCAACGGAAGGAGTTACAACATTGATGTGTTGACTTAACTCTGCAACATATGCTGTTTGTTAGAAGCTCTAAAGTGAATGCTCCATACTCCAAACTGCCTGCAGACAGAACCAATCGCTCTGCAGAAATTGCATCACAAACCACAGAACCCTCAGGATTCACTTTCTACACTTGGGAAGAAGTATGTCTACAGTGCTGGCCCCAACTGCCAGACACCATACATGACTTGCGCCCTGATTTCCTCAGGGGTGGAAGCCACATGGGTAGAGGAGAGTCAGGAGTTCAAGGATGTTAGCAAAGACTCTTCATTCTTATAGGACATACTCAGAATAGGCAGGAAATTACCCAGCCTCTCAGGCCCTTCCCTTGCGTCCATGTGAAGACCCAGCTCTGTGTGCCTGCTGTCCCTATGCTGCTCCTGCCAGTGTGAGGAGGACCTGTGGTCTCCTTGGTCCTCCTCGTCAAAGGCACAGCCAGGGTGGTGAGTGGGTATGACGGAACAGGAAGCACTTGGACAAGGAGAACTCCTTCAGTGGCAAGCTCTCGCACTAGAGCATCAGCTAGATGCACGTATGCGAGGCAGAAGAGTCTCAACCAATTAAAGATTCACTCCAGTGCTGGGGTGCAGATCAAAGGGCAGAGTGCCAAGGGCAAGGGCTCTGAGTTCAACCCCTGGTGCCACAATAATAAATAAGTAAATAAATAAATATTCACCCTACAGTGAATGGTAACCATCTTAGGCCTATGAAACGGCAACAAAGCAGTGGCCTATTGAGACCCCTCTGTGTGTGTACCAAACCAGCTGGGACTGAGAACAAGTAATAGTCCTGAACACAATGGTGCTGTCCTGACCGGGGGGGGGGGGGGGGGGGGGGGTAGCTAGGGGCTCAAGTGAAACCAGCAAGCAGGAGAAATGTCTCCTCTTTTCCTCATGTCACCCCCCCCCCCCCACAGGAAATGGCCCTGTGATAATTAATACAGCCAGCGACGGTGAGATTCTGTGTGTTCCCACAGGTGAGAGAGTGAAGAGACAACTTGCCTGTAGGAGTAGAGAGTAAAAATCCCATTGTAGCTGAGTTTGGCACCTCCACCGTAAGCGCCCCCTTTTTCTCGAATTTCTGTGTGCAAGAACTTTGAAGTCATCAACCTCGCAAGGATCTTAAGACTGAAATTAAGGATTAAAAAAAAAAAGAAGTCAAAAACAACATGGCTGATAAGGAAGCACTGCAAATCACATCATCCCAAGAAACATGTGAATAGGATGAAGTGAAAACGAAAATAAAATCGACATGGAACATATCAATACTAAATATACCCTAACAAACATCATAATCAATCACAAATCAGAAATACTTGATCGCAAGCCATTCACAAATTGAAAATATTGGTAAATGCACTGGTATGAACATGTATGAACTTTTCTTTGTCGAAACAACATGCTGTCACAGTGTAAGGACTATGAAAATAGTTGTCATTGTAAGTAGCGTAGAGATGAATGGGGCATGTGTATAGGTTCTGTGAATATACTATGACACTGTACATAAGGAATTTAGTATTTGCAGATTCGGTATTTTCAGGAGTCTCTAAAAAGCATCCCCAGGGATACTGGATGATGACTGTATCTCATAGTCAGTTTTTCTTTCTCTTTTTTTTTTGGTAATGAAACCAAAGTAGCCAAGAAAAGAATGTGAGAAAGTACAGTTTTCCAATAGCTGATTTACACCACAGGGGCTTGTACAACTGAGTGTTGATTTAAATGCTCCACATCAGAATGTGGCAAAAGAAATACGGAAACTCTGAACTGATCTTTCTCTTAGAAAACACTAGTACTCCAAAGCAAGCAAATTCACATCTATAAAGTGTCATTTTCTGGGTTCCTAGGGTCTGTGTGGCTCACAGGACTGTATGAGGGTTAGAAAGTAGCTATTCCTGGGCTGGGATGTAGCTCAGTGACAAAGCTCTTGTCTAGCAAGTGCAACGCCCTATGTTTGATCTCCAGTACCAGAACAGGAAAAAAATATATAAAAATAATACAGTTAAGTTGTGCCCTAGTGGCTCACGCCTGTAATCCTAGCTACTGAGGAGGCTTAGATATGAGGATTGCAGTTCAGAGCCAGACGGGGAAGGAAAGTCCATGAAATCCTTATCTGCAATTAGCCACTGAAAAATTGGAAGTGGTGCTGTGGCTCACAGTGGTTGAGCACTAGCCTTGAGCAGAAGATCTTAGGGACAGCACACAGGTCCTGAGTTCAAGCTCCAGAACCGGAAAAAAAAAATACAGTTAAACACCAAGTAGCTCGGCATAGTGGAGGGCTTTCTGCTCACAAAGGCTTAGCTGTCTGCAGCTATCCAGGGTGTGTGCTTCGAGCATTTCTACATGAGTCTGGCTGGTGGGGTACAGTCTGGGCAGAGGAAGACCTCCGCCGGTGAAGGTGGCATTGAGTGGCACAGCGCAGAACCTTTCTGGGTTGCACAGCCTGCTTTTTACTTTGTAGCATGCTAGATCAACTTGATTTTTTATTGAGGCGGAGAGCTGAGAGAAAGGTCGCTGGCCACCCCTCTTACCTGGCGTGATCTGGGTCTGTATAGGGGACGGTCCTGACACATTCAGCGACGTAATTCACGGGGAAGGGTAGCTGGAAGTGGGTCTTCATCTGGCATGGCTTGAACGTGGGGTCCTGAGGCATGGAAGGGCGTGGGTCACACCAGGCTGCATGAACCAGACTCGGCTTCCAGGTGCTAGAACTGGTGGGCGCTCCCCGCGGGCCTCTCCCCTGTGGGTCACTAGCTGGGCACTCCTCACTAACGGCTGGATATGAGTTCAACACCTTCCCAGCATAAAGGTTCGTGAGGCTCTATCTCAACTAATGTCTGGGCATGGTGAAGTGTGCCTGCTACCCCAGCGATGGCGGAAACGCAGTGGCTGGGGGCAGTGACCCGCATCCATCATCCTCGGTGACACAGGAAAGCCCAAGCAGGACAGCAGCCTGAGCATGAGGCAGGACCCTCCCTCAAAGATAACCAAAGCAGAGCTGGGAAGGTGGCTTAGTGGTAGAGTGCTTGCCTAGCATGCATGAGGCTCTGAGTTTGATTCTTTAATACCACACAAACAGAAAAGGCTGTGGCTCAAGTGGTGAAGTGCTAGCCTTGAGCAAAAGAAGCTCAAGGACACTGCCCAGACCCTGAGTTCAAGCCCCAGGACTGGCCAAAATAAAAAAATAACCAAAGCAAACATGGGCAAGGAGGCATGGCTCAAAAAAGAGAGTACCTGCCTAACAAGTACAGGCTCTGAGATTCTCCCTTTTCTCCTCCCCTCTCCCCAAAATTAATCCCACTGCTTAATTCAAGGTGATCTGAGGAGACCTGACTCAAACAATTAAGATGAGACTCAACTGCAAGCTGGCAAGGCCACAGAGAATGCAAATGTCCTAATCATCAGAGCAGGGTGCTTACTCAGCACCATCTCAAAAGAACTCAGGGTACATTGCAAGACACAACTACCCCACCTTAGACAAGGGTTAGGCTCCCTTTCCCTCTTCTGCACTGCCCAGTCATAAACTGCATCTAGATGAATCGGTCACGGAATGTGAGAATCAAGTGCTGTAGTGAGTTGTCAGTGCTCCAGGCAGCAGGAGGCTGAGCCAGCAATCTACCCGCACGGGAGCGGGAAGCCACCTCACACACAAAGGGAGCGGCAGGTCCCCGTGCCCCGTGTCACTCACCGTGATCAGCTTCCTTATCATGGGGGAGCTGTTTTCTCGAGAACTTCCAACAGAGCCACCGGGCACAGGCTTCTGAAAGCAAAATTGCCAGCACACATGAGGAAAACACCCAAACCCCCAACCCACACCTCTAAATCGCCAGCAAGGTATGGATTATGGATTTTATGAAAACTTCAGCTCAAATATTATTAGGGAAGATTTGCTTCACTGTTTAAAATGAATGTTTTGGTGCTTTAAAGAAGTGAAAATTTTTAGTAGATTTTTCTGATAGCCAAACAAGAGCTTGTAGTACAACATAAAGAAAAATACTTCAAGCTTTACTTCTTGGGTACTTTCTGATCTTAAAACTGTATCAAGCCAGGGTGCTGATGTGCACACAGACACAGACAGACAGACAGGCAGACAGACACACACACACACTGCATCCAGAAGAGGAGATGATGTAACAACTTTAGTCAGAGGGCAGAAGGCCACCTTCACACGTTTCTGACTCGCAGGGGAAGTGAGGAGATGAGATAGCTGGGAGTCTAGGAGACCACGCCAGCAATGAGGCAAGGGCAAGAAAATGTCAGTAGGGAAGACGAGGATTTCCCCAGATCAGCAATCTGTCAGCATTCTCCAGTGAGAGGGAAGTAGAGAGTGAGACTGTGGGTCAATCAGACTAAAACTAATATCCTAAGTCAATCCAATTTGCATTCACTCCTGAGGATAACTAGTGTCTCAAGTTAATCAAATGGATCCACCTAGGATATTACTCTAGCGTAGAATCCATGCATTGGTGAGTCACAGCAAAAAGATTTTACAAACACCTCGTGTCTCCCAAAGCCTCAAAGAATAGGAAATGGATCTCCTTGGATCATCATTTCAGACTGGAAAACAATCTGAATGTAACATGTGTCACATCCCAAACCAAAGTCTCTTTCCTTATCAAGAAACTAATCATTTTGAAGGATAAACAACAAAAATCTGAAGCCGAAAGGGGGTCTGAATTCTCTTTCACACAGGTTAGTGACTCTAACAAAGGGGTTCCCCATCTCTAACAACGGGGTGATTACTGCTGCCCCACTGGGGGTTTTTATGCCTTTGGAGAGAACCAGAGCTGGTTTTGGCAGGGCTCAGCCACCAGCCCTGCATCTGGTTATTACCTCGACCACGTGGGGGCGCACAGGCCTCCGTTCCTTCTTACTTCGCCCCACGTTTTGGAGGAAGTTTTCCAGCTCCTTTGCTGCCTGAGCCATCTGCTGAGGGGCGGCATTCACGGAGCATCTGCATGAAGGAGGCCATCGTGAGTGAAAATAAAACTCAGCGATCCTACTACCAATGGTATCAATGACACAAAACTTAGAAGTGAATATAGCAGTGTTTCTGTATAAACTAATCCTCTGAGATGTTCAGAAGAAACAGTGAACAGGTGTGGGAATCAGTGCTTTCCAATGCTCCTGATATCTGCATGTTAATTCTGTGTCACAGCTGGTCAACACTGAAAACACGGCCAGCATGGGAAGATGGCGTGTTTGTCTTCATGCTGTGGCTTCCCAGGTGCAAAAGGAATGAGAGGATTACCAGGAACTGCCAGCAATCCCTTCAGATTCCCAACACAAAAAGACTGAAAATTAAAGGCAAAACCAAACAGCAATAGCAGCGGCAAAAATGCTGCCCAGAGATCAACAAGATAAAAATGTCAACTGATCGCTAAGGTCGATATATTAGAGGATGTCAAAACTTACCTTGCTTACTTTTATATAACTAGTACTACTACCTAGTACTAGAATATGAAGTTATTTCAACTCTAATTACTGACAGTGTATCTCCCCCACCCTGTTCCTAAATCCTGACTTTAACAGGAGACACAATTAAGCTAATACTAACTATACTTTAGTCCCTGTACTCACTGCTTTGCATTTTGAGAGGGAGGCAGAAGGTCCCTAGAGTTAAGTTACCTAGGATGCTCTGGGTACAAAGGTAGGTACTGGAATAGGAAGAGATCAAGCCAGACCCGCCAGACTCATGGATGGAGCACTGACGTATTCTCGCCACCCAGACTGTGCTGTGGTATCTGCCACTGATTCTTCATTACCAGCCTTCTCTTTGCAAAACCTACCAGCAGATGCTAGTCTAGTGCTACTAGTAATAAGATTTTAATAAATAAGATGATTAATCATTTTTAAAAAATGTAAATGCACAAATCTGAGGTGGTAAAGCCAAGTTTATGTATATGATTGAACTGCTTTATTATATCATTTATCTATTTTTTTGTGCCAGTACCAAGGCTTGAATACAGGGCCTTGCACTCCCGTGAGGCTTCCTTGTTCACTGCTGGTGCTCTACCACTTGAGCCACAACTCAAGTCCAGCACTTTGCTGGTTAATTGGAGAGAAGAGTTTCCCAGACTTTCCTATCCTTGGGTTTCAAACTGCAGGCCTCAGATCTCAGTCTCTTGAGTAGTTGGGATTACAGCATGAGCCATAGCTCTGGCCATTATATAATTTCATTCTGGAAAGAAACTGCACTTTTAGTCTGACTTTGCTTATGAAACTTTCATTTTGGAAGCAATATCTCCATGTTAACCCTGTGTTCTAAATCTACTTCACAGTTCTAGGATTGCATTAGTTTGCTTTCCTCCTCACCTCCCACCACTGTTATTAAATTTAAAATGCTATTCTTTTCCCCTCCCATAGAAAATAGTTTTAGTGTAACTGAACACTGCCAAGCCTAGAATCAATTCCTCATTTACATCCACAAGATACATTTCCATAAGTTTACTATCACATGAAACAGTTGTAAACACTGCAAGTGGCAGGAATGAATGGCAAAACCTCTATGTGGACACAAAGCCTTAGCCCACCTCATATGATCACAAGTCAGCAGATGCTTCTTGATCCGTGGCAGCTTTCTCAGGACTGGCTTGATATCTGACGTCTCTGCGATTCTCTTCATCAGCTTCACCTGAACCAGAGAACTCCACACACTGAGAAGGAGATCACACATACACCCTCCTGCTACGAAATCAAGCATCCTGGACCCCAGAGTCCTGCCTGAGCAACGGGACCTGTGCCCAGCTTGTGCCCGTGTGCCCTCACAGCCTGGGGAAGGGTTTGATTTGACACAAGGGGAAAGGCAAGTTGCACAATTTCCCCCCTAACATCTGGAAATTAGAAGGCTGATTAGAAAGCTCTGTTTTCTGACACTTAAGATGCACATTACCAGAGAACACTGCCAGCTCTGGAAGTTCTTGCAAAACCAGAACCAGCAGCCTTTCCTCCTGCTCCCCACCTGATCCATCCCGCTGAAGGTCTCCTCTAAGTCTCCGGCAGGCGTGAGTGTCCTGCTGGCTCGGACGGATGCATACTGATGGCCCGAGTCCGGGATTCCATTGGAGAGTTCCTGCGCCGCCATCTTAACTAACACTTTGAAGTGTTCTTCTTCTTCGAAGTTAGGGCTAAGGTAAAAGAAAAACACGATAAATTCCTGGAGATGAAACGTGCCTCCTCTACTATCCCGGACATCTCATCACATCTAAGGTTTCTGAGTACTTTTACCATCATCAGAAATGTTATGAGTCTATAAGAATTACAAGTAAAATCAGGCTAGGATGTGAACTTGGGACAAATAAATTTAAACTCTTCTACTTCAAACGTGTCAGGACGGTTAGAGCTCAGTCTTTGGCAGGTGCCAAGGATGCACATCTTTTTATAAAGAGTTACTTGTTAAATATTTCATTCCATAGATGCATCATGTCCGGTAGGTTTCGATCCAGGCAGAGAGATGAAAAGAGAACACCCTGAATCATGAAAAAAATAATACAAAAGAAGAAATTAATTATGGTTTAACCTAAACCAAAGGCACTGTCGAAACAGCGTGACGGTAAGCGTGCTGTAGAAAAGACAGGACTGACTACCTGCTCATAGGCGTCCAGGTGTGAGTCGTCACAGAGCACCTGGGGAGACACGGTCATGCCTCCGGTCTTCAGTTCTATTTGCTGAGCTTGCTTTCTGTAGTCAAGAATGCCACAGCCCAGCCTGATATGGAAAAAAACAACTCCTGAATTACCAGATCGTGTGTAAAACTGTGCATCTTGAATGATGAGAGACTGTCAGCTCTAGCCTTACAAACCTCCCCTATACTTGAAAGGCTACAGAGCCCAAAGGTATTTAGGCAGCAACAGTGTGGATGACTCCAGCCCTCTCGCCAATCCCAAGGTCAGTGTCTCCTCTCCAGCAAACTCACTTCTAGTGTCTAGGCCACTAGACACTTAGACACCCAACAACTAGCAATAAATAAAGGCCTTTGCTTACAAATGCTTTCTTTCCTTCTTTGAAAATATTCTGACACCAACTACATTTTGCTCAAATGTGGTGGTGGTCATGAAGGGGGAAAAATAAGACTTTGTAAGTCTCTTTTAAGTGAGGCAGATGTTCTCTCGGTATTCATGCTCTGGGAGAAACATCACTGATGCTTCTGACAGAAGAAATGACTTGAGCCAAGGGGGTGATGGGAGTGTTCTCTAAAACTGCTATGAAAGGACAAGCAGTGGAAGCTATTTAATTTTTAAAGAAGGAGGAAGGAAGGAAGGAAGGAAGGAAGGAAGGAAGGAAGGAAGGAAGGAAGGAAGAAAGGAAGAAAGGAAGAAAGGAAGGAAGGAAGGGAGGGAGGGAGGGAGGGAGGGAGGGAGGGAGGGAGGGAGGGAGGAAGCAAGCTTCCCAAAAGCAAACACCATTTTGCATGTGACTCAATGCTCAGCCAGGGTGTAGACCCCACTCCGCCAGTGCCCAGTGTGGATGGACTTCAACTCCACAAAGAGCACTTTAGATTGGGCCCAGGTCTTGCCCAGTGTGTTCCATGGTGTGGGTTCCCTCAATTTCTCTAGAAAAAGCAAGGCTGTAGCCCTGTCTACTGCATATCCTGCTACCTCAGCTACTGACCAGGAACAGAGAGAGGACATACACTGTGTGCACTCGTGCATGTGCTCCGAATGTGTGCAGACATGTCTCTGTAGAGGACAGCTGCCGTTAGCTTGGCAGGGAAGCAGAGGAAGAAAGGAGTGGGCTCACCGGTTCGCTGAGACCCGAGTCTGGCACGAATAGGTTTACACTCCCTGATCAAACACAACTATTCCTTTCCAAAAGGTTCATGGATTGATACCCTTTAGACGTGCACAGCTACACGTTATTACCTCATTCTCCAGATTTGTGAATATTATAACACAAAAAGCCGGTTCTAAATAAATACCTTGTGCACTGGATACTCGTATCTTCTAACACTAAGGTTTTAAGGCTGAAACGGTTGACTGAATGGTGACTGCTGTTCATGTGCTAAAACAGTTACATACCCAGAACCTTCTATTCATGACCCGAATGGCATGGATGCATCTGTGGCAAACCTGAGACTCACTTGGTGAGCACGCTGCAGAAGAGAGGCACGTACGGCCGCAGCTCCTCGGGAAGTGTGTTCAGGCTGGAGAAAGCCCGGAAGTACACTATGCCGTTGGTGGGCTGGGCGCAGTACTGCACGGGGACCTCTCCAGCTAGAACGCAGAAGGGGTGGATTGACATGAAAATTCAACCAGCAAAAAACGTAATCACGTTTAATATGCAAGACATAATGTGATTGTTCTTCAAGGCTAGAACTTTACAACTTGCATGAGCAAAAGCCAGGACTCGTGGGTGAACAGCTGTACCTAAATGCCCCGATGCAATGTTCATTATGAGAGACAATGGAAAGAGTCTTCAACACGAAAGTCATAGTTGCTTTGCTGAAGAATTAGGCTAGAAGAACAGTGGTGTTCTTCTGGTTTCAGAAATATATCAGCATTCCAGCCGGTCCTGCCTCATCTCTACTTTGAGTCAAAGCCCTCACTTTACTGACCGTGGGCCTGACCAGGTCATTCTACAGCATCCGTTCTACTTGCTTCCAGTGCCACTCCTCAACCAGAGTCCCGCCCCCTCCACAGGTGCACAGGGCTTACTGCTGTGGGCCCAGGGGTATCCCAGTAGCCTCAAACAAGATGTTCTGGAATGTGCTTGGGACTCCTCGGCCTAAGGGCATTTCCAAGTCTCTCCAGGGCAGGCACGATGACTCTGTTGCAAAGCCTTCCCTACCATAACACCCTACACCAGGACTATCGCACGTGCTGATGATAAATTTAGCTGAACTAATTATTTTAATAAATTTAGTTATTAATTAATTTTTAGTTAATTATTTTAATGGGACTCGCAGATTAAGTAAAACCTGTAAGGAATTACATGATCACTGGGACATGATCCTTAATTTCCAGAAGGAAGAAATCCTCTTGTTCCCCATCTGTCAGTCTCTCTGTCACTCACTCACTCACAGAGGTCTATAGAATCAAATCTGCAGGAGTAAGCTGGGCACCAGTAACTCACACCTGTAATCCTAGCTTCTCAGCAGGCTGAGATCTGAACATCTTAGTTCATAGCCAGCCCCGGCAGAAAAGTTCCCGTGAGATTCTTATCTTCAATTAACCACTCAAAAAACCACAAGTGGTGCTGTGGCTCAAGTGGGAGAGTGCTGGTCTTGAGCACAAATTGGCTCATGGACAGCATTCAGGCCCTGAGCTCAAGCCCCAAAATTGACACACACACAAAAAAAGTAATTAATTAAAATCTGCAGGAATAAATAAGTACTGTTAAAACATAAAACCAAGGATAGGGATGCTCAGGGTCTAGATTGTATTCAAGGCTGTCACTGGATTCTGAAATCAAATCAAACCAAATCGACCCCTGTTCTCAGAAAATCCTAGGGTCAGATCCATGGACTGCAGTCACCAATGTTTAAGGTCACCCACTTCTCTGTCAGGAGAGTCCAGAGTCAAGCAAGTCTCTTTTGCTATCCCCACAAAAGCCAACGGGAAAAGAAGCAACTGTGAGAAGTGAAGCACAGCACTGGAGCACAGAGCCAAACACGACAGACACTGGGTGAAGAACAGCCTTCCACCTCTCTCCATTATCCAGAACTCATCGACACCTAAGCTTTGTGAAGTCCCATTTATCCCTCCACGCAAGAAAATAAACACAAGTGCTTACAGAGCAAACAAGTCTAAGTGCTAATATATCACTTGTAGGATTCATGATATCCCAAAACACCATAATGGAAACAGATGGAATGGGATCTTAAAACAAAGGATTAAAAAACAGAATTTCCTTTAGTCCATCCTTCATCTCATTAAGAATATGACTCTAGTGGAAGATGTAAAAAAATGTAAATTTTCTAAAACAGTTTCATTTACTAGAAAGACATTGAAAATTGCTATTCAAAGAAGCTGAAATAGTTTTAATGGTTAAATAACAGTACAGTAAATTCTTGATTATATATATTATATAATATATATTATATATACATATATATGTATGTTTTAATGAAAGAAACCTAGGGCTGACCAAGTGTTGAAGTGCAGACCATTTCTTCACCAAAAGCACAGGAGTAATGGTGTCTGCTGAGAGGAAACTCAGGAACACATGAGAGGTGAAAATAGGTGGACAACACATTCAGACTGAAGAAACCAGAGTTTCTACAGCTTTGTAGAACCAAGAAGAAGGGAAGAAAGAAACCCTGGTCCCAATTCTAGATTTCTATCATCTGGTACAGACTGAATATTTATCCAACAGGCAAGATTTCTTGGTCCTTGGGGTCTAATAGAGCTGACTGGAAAAATGATGAAACAAATTTGCAAGGGTCTGGAGATGCGTGAACTTTTTTGAGAAATATCCCAAACATGACCCCATGTGTATGAAGCTGGCATTTTTAAGTCATTCAGGGAACCAAGGCACCCACAAAATGAGAGAGACAGTGACCTGCGGTGGCCACCTCCAGCTCCGTGAACGGCATGGTGGGCTCGATGTCAGAGACTTTCAAGGCCGGGAGGCAGGAGGTGTCTGTAGGGTTACTCTGCTGATTGAGCAACTCTAAACCTGGAAAGGAAAGAAGGAGAACACACACTTCATCTCTTCTGTCCTTTGTCTGAGATTCAAAATTACCCAGGTGTGGCCAGGTGTCACTGATGGGTGGAAGGAGCTGCCAACTTCTGAGCATCCTGAAATCACTCTGCCACCCTCATTGCTCCTTCCCTAACTTACTCATGGTCACCACTGAACTTATCCAACGTCTTCTTTTCTCTTTTCCCAAATCACAAGTTACTAGCAGTAAGGACAATATTCCTTCCCAGACACACAGAAGACAAAAATTCAGAGGATTCAAAATATTCTCTCATTTGCCTTTTTTTTTCTCTTGATATTCACCTTCTGATTGTACTCTCGTTCACTGTGACTTCTCACACTCAAGTCCACATTTTGAGAGTTACTAACCAGAAGTAACCACTCCATGCACTAGCCTGTGTCATACTTATTGTTACCACCAACCATTAACGCAACAAAAGTTCACCAAGACTGGCTGAGCATTGTGAATTACTAAGTATCCACAGAAGTACCTGACCTTTCTCATAGATCTTTTGTTTGTCTTCCTGGGAGAGAGATTTGACCTTCTGCTGGAGTTTTTCTGTTTCCATTTGTGTCTGTTTCTCATAATACTTCTTATCTGGCTTCATTGACAAAGTCAGTTTATGCCGATTATTCTGCAACCACAACAAAAAGTTGAGACAATTAAATGTTAACCTATTATATCAGCCTATGGTGGTGTGTTCTTGGTGCTAGTGCACTGTTTTTATCAACTTTTAGAAATAGTAAAACAAAACAAAACCTTATTTCTCAGGTCTTGGTTTGCAGAGTAAAGTCCTCAAACCCATAAAAATCCTTACAGCCACACCCGCTGTGTCATAAGTAACAAGCTCACATTGAAGTTCTTATCTCTCTTATAAATTTACGAGTATTCAAGTTTTTCTTTATATAATGTTGTAAAATACCACTTTTTAATATTAACAATTCTGTTTTGTGTGTGCTGCTTCTGGGGCTTGAACTCAGGGTCTGGATGCTGTCCCTGAACTCTTCTGCTCAAGGCTAGCTCTCTACCACTTCGAGCCACAGCTCTACTTCCAGCTTTTGTTAGTTAATTGGAGATAAAAGTCTCAAGGCCTTTCCTGCCTGGGCTGGCTTAGAACTTCAATCCTCAGATCTTAGCCTCCTGAGTAACTAGAAATATAGGCATGAGCCACCAGCGACTAGCTCTAACATTATCAATTTTTGATATGAGTTTAAAAATCAAACTCATTTTCATTACCTATTAAATATTTATAAGCTGGAACTAAGTTTGTGATTGACCACTTTATAATTACTTGGACAAAACGGATGTTGATCTAGTGTAAAACTAAATGTTAGAGGACTTTACCTGCTTCTCTTATCATTTTGACTGTTAAGCCATGCACAAAATGCTCACTTGTAATAGTACCAAGAGAGTTCGGAGTCTGAGGAATATACGAAAGCTTATAACAGAGAAACTGTGAATCACACAGAACTAAACCATGGCCCACGTTTGATCTAGCAGCACACATGAACAGAGTTGTCCTTTAAAACAGGCAACAGTGATTTGGCAGGAACATTTTTCAAAATGCTCCACCGCACTAATGAAGAAAAAGCAGGAGCCACATAACCCCTCACAGACACTTGGGATTCTGGCAAAGCGAATGAGCAAGCATCAAGCGCGTTCCGTCCAATCAAAGACGACCACCTCGATTATATTGTGGAAAACAGAGTTCGAAAACAAAATGCTCATCCATTCAGGAACAGAAATGGACTTACAGGTACAGGTTAGGAGCTGGAGGTTGTGTGTGATATTTGGAAATGCAGCCTTTGAAGGTACAAACATACATACATGCCACAGCTTCCTTACCTGAAAATACTGCTTCATTTTTTCTTGCAAATATCTGGGATTTTCCTTGAGACACTGTCTGAACTTAGACAGCTGATTGCCCATCTGCAGGAGCTCCACGGGATCTCCGTCATGGTTCCAGCATGCCGCTATGTACTGGGATGAGGAAATGGAAACCCAGTTGCAGACCACATCACACACCATGGCACACACAAACACTCGGTTACCCCAGCAATCACCAAAGCCATGGCACTCTACTAAGACCCTAATTTCTGCATTAGGAACAAGATTCGTCATTTGGTTGAAAATCTCATCTTAAACTACTATGCTCTATTTTTTTTTTAAGTATAGTTTAAAGTATCTTCAGAAAACATAACAATTACCAATAGCATACTGGTTACTGTATATCACTATCCATTTAGCCGGCACCAATGACTCATGCCTATAATCCTAGCTACTCAGGAGGCTAAGACCTGAGGATCACAGTTTAAAGCCAGCCTGGGAAGACTCTTATTTTCAATTAAGTCACAGAAAAAGACAGAAGTGGAGCTGTGGCTCAAGTGGTAGAGCACTAGACTTGAGCAAAAAGAGCTCAGGGACAGCACCCAGGCCCTGAGTTCAAGCCTCGGGACCAGAAAAAAAAAAAAAGGAAAAGAAAAACAAAAATACAAAAACCCACTATCCATTTAAAGCATGCTGTGTAAATCTAGCTCACACAATAGTACATCTGAAAGCCAATTAAGTAAGTTAGGGAAAAATAAAATTATGAGTACACTTAGATAAAAGCTCCGAAACAGTGAGCTTTCAAGGCCCAAACGAAAAGCACTGCCAATATTAATCTATATTTTCAGCATCAGGTGTGACTAACTCCAAAAATAAACCACATACTGATGTCAGGTCGAGACCGAAGCGGGTAGACTGGTGCTTCATTTGTATTTCCAATTTATGAAGCAAAGCTTCAATGCAGTCATCTTCAAATCCTTTCCTAAAGAATACAATGAATAATTGCAATGTGGAGAAGAAATAGAAGTTCTCTGAAGAAACACAAAGTAGCTGAGGTAACATGTAAGCCGCAAAAGTGAACTAGACACACTTTTGCTACACACAGAAGGCCCAGGGTGGAGGAGGCCCCGCCCCTGTGATCCCCACAGACCATTCAGGTGGAAGGAAGCATGTCTTTACCACAGGCCACACTTACTCCACTACTTCATCAATGGTTTTGTCCACAAGGTCTCTGACTGTCGGAATGTCTTTCTCCTCAATTCCTTGGAGGCCGATGCTGAAGTAGGCATCCTTTGTGTAGCCATTATAACTAGAATACAACCACAAACACACACACACAATGCATTAAAATCCACCCACTCCCACCATTCATCTGTAAGGTGCTTTATTTAAAGATCGGGACTAAGAACTTCCAATCCCAGCTCCTACTAAAGAAAGCTCACTGAAAGCATTCCCAGACACTGCCTTCTCATTTCTGCATGGTCAGAGGCACAGCATGTCTTTTTACATACATGTGTTACTACAAGTCAGTATACATCCAGCTTCTGTTACAGTTAAAGTATTCTAGATGTAGGGAACTGCTGGGTTTTTACCACATCTCTAAACCTTAAAGAATACTTCAGGAAGTGATTTTTAAAACAGGACAGCAAGCAGAATGACATCCTAAGATCTTAGAAAAGTGAATTTACTTATTCACTTATCTTTGCCCGAAGTCTGACTTCAGGAGACATGAATAGCTTATCCTGGAACCATAATCTAACTCAGAGCTGCCCGGTGCACTGTGAGCTGCTAACAGCTCTTCTCCATGGATCAACCAAAAATGTCCCAACCAAAAATGTCCCAGACACTGTCCAGTGTCATTAAAGGGACGGGGGTACCCACAGGACCAAGCCACCCCCACTGAGAGCTACTGATCTAAACGGACAATAAAACGTACCCAACATCGGGGGAAAAGTCTGTGCCCAATCCAGACTCAATTAAAGCTTTGTAGAAGGGGGAATTGGGCCCAGAAATCAAGAGGGAAGACAGGAAACTCAACGCGAAGGCTTCAGAGGTATCTGTGATCCTTCAATGGAGAAGATAGGGGAAGGCAAATGGGAACATAATTATTAGTTATAAATCATTTTAAATCATCACACTTTTATCTCCAAACCACCAAAAGTTCTCTAGAAATCCTTGCATTTGACATGTATTTTAATAATTACTTGTGCAAAAGATTGTTTTATTCCCTATAGACTAGGATTTTTTTTTTGGAAGGGGGGGCACAAAATCATAAAATATCATTATGTAGCAAATGCTGTCACATGACGGAGAGTCATTTCACATATATGATTCTAGCATGGCTACAGGATCATGTCAACACCATAAAGTTGGTGAGAAAGAAATGGCAGCTGAGGTGCACAGCTTCAATTCACAGCCAGTTCCTGGGTGGGGTGGGTAGAACCTGGGTCCCCCTTTCTGTACCACGCTGTCCAGCCCATCTCTAGAATGACAAGGTTTCCTGTGCGGCAGATTTCCTCTGAAACCAGTATTCATGGCATTCGCCTCACACACAAAGGGCCTCAACTCTTAACATCTGCTCTTCTACAAAGTCCTTTCTCCAGAGACATGGAAATTTTAAGTATACTAAACAAATGATTTTCCTTGTGGAGGACTACAAAGAATGATTTTCCTCCCACATCCATTTTTGATGTGTTTAAAATTCTGACATTTTTGTTCTCTGTGCCTAAAACCTGCTTGATCTTTCTCTCTGCATCCTAGCAGTATATTCATTATTTCAACCACCTAAGTGGGATATTTTCCTGCTGTCTTCAGCTAGCCAGAACTTGAATGCCAAATACTCACTCGGGTAGGAGGAAGCTGACGCTGACTGTTGTTTGCTTAGCGGCATTGGTGGCAAGGGAATCGGGGCCACATGTGACGTGGAACTCCCTCTGCAAAAATGACGAGATGCTTTATGTAGGCGAAGAGTGTGACTGCCTGCAAGGGGTCATAGGTCACCCGGATCTATGAAATGGCCCAAGATACGGGTTTCCCTAAGTTAACTTTCTTTATGAGCGTTGTTTAATCTTTTTCTTTTTAATTTTAATTTTTAATTTTTTTGCTGTTGTTATTGTTGTTGTTTTGGAGTCATGGGGCTCGAACTCAGGGCCTGGGTGCTGTCCCTGAGTTCCTTTTGCTCCTGGCTAGTGTTCTACCACCTTGAGCCACAGTCCTATTTCCAGCTTGTGGGTGATTAATAGGAGATAAGAGTCTCAAAGATTTTCCTGCCCAGGCTGGCTTTGAACTGTGATCCTCAGATCTCAGCCTCCTTAGTAGCTACAGGATCACAGGCATGAGTCACCGGTGCCCCACTGCTTAATTTTTTATACATGACTTTAAGAGGTTGTACAAAGGACTTACCAAGGCATCTTGATCATTTCAACGTTCTCACCTGGCAGTGTTTAATCTTGATAAGCTCTCATGCACACTTGCCTAGGCCCAAAGGACACTTCCAACTATGACTGGCAGGACACGACCAACACCTTGGTTCAATCTAGTGCTCGAACAGGATGTTGCACTGGTAAGAACGGGATGAGGCTCTCACCGGCTTATCCCAGCGCTTCTGGGCTGGCACTGTGGTGCTTGGCTCAATTTTCTGAAATCTACTCAGTGCCTCTTCGTGAATTTGTTTCAGATGCTGTTCTAATGGGAAGCTGCCATAAGTGAAGAACCTAAAAATAGGAGGGAAAATATTAGACTATTTTCACTTAAATGATCATGGCATTTTAAACACAATGAGTCTGGGGTACCTGGCAGTGTCCACCAGACCACCCCTACAGGGAAGGACGCTTTACAGAGTAATGCACTTGTTTGCACTTGCTTTAATGAAAAACACCAGAGAGAAGTGTTTGCCTTGTTAATGCGACAAGTGGTTTAAATCAACCACAAAGTATGCAAGGCTTTGTTAAACGCTAATTCAGTAAAAACCCATGAGCTATTTTAAAATCATTCTTTGCCATGAGTGACAGCAATACAATAATCCATCTAAAACTGGGAGGAAAAAACAAATAAAGAATTTCATACAACTCAACCTTAGGCTACAAACTGCAGATTCGAGGTTTCAAAGATAACACATATTCAACCAGAGGACAAAGGTTTCAGTACCAGAGTTGAGCCTTTTCTCCACTATATTTAAAGTTGTGTGAGTGGTGGTTAGAATTTGGGGACCTAGATTTTTAAAGATCCATTTGAAATTTTCCATCAAGGGCCTGGAGATGAATGTGACACTGCACTCCTGTGGATAATACAATGGTATTCAATTTTCCCTAGTATCTAGCTTTGTGTACATAGGTACAGAACTCTATTGGGAAACAATCAACTAAATATCTGAGCCGGACGAGGCTGGGGAAGAAGGAGCAGGGGGAGTGGAGGAGGGGAAACTGAAGAAGTCCTTGAATACCAAGAAATGGCAGGGGAACTGCTGAGACAGTGTGAGCGCAAATACCTTGGTTCCATTGTATCGTGTAGCTACAAATACATACTAATACTTTCCATGACATCATGCTGGTATTTTTTTTTAAAAAGCAAAAAGCAAAAGAAGGTAGGAAAGAGAGAGAAGAGAAAAATAACCCCCTCTATCATCACTGGAGAAAAGCTTGTGCCACAATTCTCCTACTAAACTTGAGAAGACACTGGTCCCTGCTTTTTCCAGACTATATTTCAGAGTGACCCAAGGTATTCCCCTTCCCCTACCTCACCAGAAGCACAGCTAGTAAAGGTAGAAGCAATCCCAGAATCAGATAACTTCACAAACTCAAAGTACGATGACATTCATTATAGAAGTAAGCTCCATCAACATCAGGTACCATGATTTATCCCAAACAGCTGGCCTGAGGTTGCATAGACAAAGCTGGAAGCTGTCAGTGCCAAGGCCGGTGGTCCCCATCTGATCCTCTGACTCTAGCATGCCTACTGGTGCGTGGAGAGGCATCCCAGGGTCTGAGGGCATGTGGCGGGGAATATAGGGCATCACTGAGGACAGATTCAGTTAAAAATTAATTTTAATCTGTCTCTAACCAAGTCTCTGGATATACATAACAGTTCTGGAAAAACCAGGGACATTTCCATCAAGGCCACAAAGCAGTCAAACTGGCTGGAAAGTGAAAGGGCTCAGAGGAGATCTGGCCTGTGGATCTTCCGTTGAGACTGTCCTCCAGGGGAAGGAATGCAGGACACATTGAATGACAAGGTGCCTGACAAATATCTGAGGGACAGATGCAGAACTTGAATGCAGAATAGAAACAGTTGTCTTTACATTATTAAGTCTGATAAATAGTATCTATATATGAAAACGTTCTTCATGGTTTAGGGTCACACAAAAACTAGAAGTGAGAAAGCATGTCTGTAATTTACCTCCAAAACTGCCAGTACAGAATGATTTACTTGAAACAAAATACCAGCAAAGAACTGTGTACAGATCCAGGCCTGGTGACTCAAGTCTATAATCCTAGCTACTCAGGAGTCTGAGGTGGTTCAAAGCCGGCCCAGCCAGGAAAACCTGTGAGACTTTGATCTCCAATGATCTACTCTGAAAAAGATAAAAGCGGAGCTGTGGCTCAAATCATAGAGATCTAGCCTTGTGCAAAATGAAGCTCAGGGAGAGCAGCTAGGCCCTGAGTTCAAGCCCCAGGATTGGCACAACAACAACAAAAGAAATGAGAAAGAAAAAAAATATGTGCACAGAGGTTAAGGATTCCATTCTATATTCTCACACATTTTCATAGCTCAATTTAAAATGTGTTGTATTTAAGTCTTGAAAATGTGAATTCACACTGGGATTGATTTTTTTCACACGTAATTATCTGTGTTTTATTATGAGTCATACAAAAACCAGCAGCTCATCAAGACGTCTCCAAGTTTCCTCTATGGCATTCACCATTTATGGAGCATATAGCTGTGTCACATGGACTCAAAGCCACAGGTGCCATATGAATTCGTCCCACAGATTGGATGCCATGGCTAGCCTTCCCATTCCACATGATGCGGCTGTGGCACAGGCCGGGACAGGGACTGGACTGTCCAGCCGGACAGTCCCTCAACCTGTGCGCCATCAGCATACTGCGCCAACTGTTACCACCGAGCATGTTTGAAGTGAATGTCAGGGGAAGTTAGAGAGGCAAACTAAAGCAAAGAATTTTAATCAAGAGAGGCCGGGTCCTTTCGGGTATGAATATAAGCAAGTGGGTCTTGATATGCCATGACACCTTTAACCCAAAGTATTACCTGGCGTTACTTGGGTGATAGTGAGTAGCATGGAACTGTTTCAGTTGTTCCCAAGAGAGCTCTGGGATGCACAGGGGATCGCCCCCGGAGATCACGGAGTATGTATGGTCAGGGAGGAGTTTGTTCTGAAGGTGCTGCGAGAATATCCTCTCATTATCTGTCTTAAATTTTGGAAGAGAAAGAAAGAGAGAGAGGAAGAGAGAAAGAGAAAGAAAGAAAAAATACATAAAATATAGTCATACACTAAAAAATATTACTGCCAATCACAGACTGTATATATGACACACAACGAAGGTCCCAGAATATAGGAACGTGATCTAGGTGTGTGGTGGTTGAACCATCTAGGTGTGTTGGCCTGTATGGTCAAGTGCACACAGGATGAGGCCTTGTACAGGCCTGGGCCATCTATAAACACCGATGGCCACTTCTCATAGCACTGACCCTTGCTAATTCAAGGACTCAGTACATAAGATGAGAAAGAGTACAATGAGACCTACATGCTGTCTCTTTCTCACACGTGTCTCTACCCCACAGTTTGACACAGCTAATTTTAACACAAGGGCGTAAATACTTACAAATGCTCCCTTCATCTCATTAAAGACGACACCTTTGAAGGTCAGGGGTGTCTGGGGGTCACTCGGATTCTCGTGTTCTAGTCGCCATCCTTCTTGCCTACGTCATGATAAACAGATCAGTGAAGAAGATGGTCAAGCACATAACTAATGTCTAAACCAGTGAGCAGATCATTACATACCAGAAATCCAGTTCCCGCAAGCATGGAAAAAAGGTGGCATCCAAATACACGGAGAGGAGGTTCTGAAAATCCTTGGGGTTTTGGGTGGAGAATGGGTACATGGTATAGTCACTCGCTGCAGACAAATGAGAAGTGAGATTTTAAATACTAGGGAGATTCCCATGGCAATGAACTACTTTCCCACCTTGTTACCCTCCCAGAGTAAGGTTTAAACTATGAGTGGACCAGAGGTACCAATGACCGCTGCTGCAGATCCACGCTTCCTTGCCCAACTCTGCTCACTACCCCAGGCCTCAACCTTCCCATAATGCAGAGCAGTTCTCACACGAACTCTGCAGCCTGGGAGGAGGACCTGGGTCCTGTGAGCACTGGTCTCTACCCTGTTGTCTCTTTCCTCCCAAATGCTTGCTTCTCGCCAGGAGCCTGTTCCCCATCCTCACATTTACCAGGAGTAAACATCCAACACCCACTCGCGTGACAATGTGACAGATGCCTCGAGCGGCAATAGGCCCAAAAGAAAATCACTCTGAACTTTTTTGAGGGAAAAAAAGAGTCCTAAAAAACCTTTTTTTGTGACCTGGCTGTGATGTGACATTCTTTTTTTTGGTTGGTTGTGGGGCTTGAACTCTGGGCCTGGGCACTGTCCCTGTGCTCTTCAGCTCAAGGCTAGCACTCTACCACTTGTGCCATAGCGCCACTTCTGGTTTTCTGGTGGTTTACAAGAGATAAGAGTCTCACAGACTTTCCTGCCCGGGCTGGCTTTGAACCATGATCCTCAGATCTCAACCTCCTGAGTAGCTAGGATGACAGGCGTGAGCCACCAGTGCCCAGCTTGATGTGACATTCTTAAATGATTGAATTTCCAGCACCTGTCCACTAGGTGAGGGCTTGGTAAAGCCTTGTATCTCCTTCACTGATTCCTCTTTTTCCTTAGAAAATGAAAGTGCTGGTGGCTGGTGAGCCCCACAGTGATTCTGGTGGTGGATGTCACTCTTACCTGTAAAGGCGTTCATGAATGTGGATAATGACCTATTCAGCATTTTGAAGAACGGGTCTCGACATGGATACCTCTCAGACCCACACAGGACCGTGTGCTCTAGAATGTGCGGGACACCGGTGCTGTCCATGGGCGTTGTTCGAAACTGTACACTGAGGCAAAGAGGAGAAAAGATGAGACAATGAAGACTGTCCCAAGCTCCAGGGCCTTCGACCACCTGGGATTTCTCTAGGTTCTAATACCTGAAGCCGCTGATTCACACTGTACCATGTTAACCTTCTTACAGGAGTTGTAATATATTCAGGAGCTCTTTACTCAACCTTTTCGGGGCATTCCATCCATAAGCATAACATATGAATGAGACAGACATTCATTTACAGTACTCAAGGCAGGCTAGATGTTCTGAATGGAAACCATGCACCACGTACCTGAACAGGTTGTTGGTGTCTTCCCGTGCCAGGTGCAGGTATCTGGCTCCCGTGGTGTCATGGCTGAGCTTCACGGCAGTGAGGAAGAGCTCGGGAACGGAGGTGACCTTTGGCAGGAAGAAAACATAAGATAGAGTAGTTTCCTTCAACAAAAGAGATCTGGCTTTTCTGCCTGCCATCAGCCACCACCTGGAAGCCAGCCCAGCACAGCTGGAAGGCACAGGTCATCCTGCCCAAGCCCTTGATCTTACAAGTCAGGAAATTAAGACCCAAACAAAGCTCTTGACAACACACTTTGGAAAATATACTCAATCTCATTTTTGGATGAAGAGAGCTGAGCCTCAAGGAGATTAAAAGAAAACTACTTGGATCCCAGAGCTAGGCCTCGTCCTTTCTAGGACTCTGTGTCACACTTCAGTGTCACGTTCCCTGCACACCTGCTGCATCTCTAGCTTTCACACAGCATTGAAGCTTGGAATAGCCCTGTAGGGAAGGCAAACCCAGGAAGGGGCTTTCACCCTAGCAATCAACTTTGCTGCATTTCTTAAGTGGAGCAAGGATTGTTATCAGCTGTGCTAGCGGGAGGGTCACTGTGTACACAGCCAGGGCCTCGCACACCCTGAAGGGCCAGGAAGATATAAATGGCCTCAATAAAGGTTGATGAAAGAGTGTCTGGGCATGGTGGTGCATGCCTATAATCTCAGCCCTCTGAAAGCTGAGGCAAGAAGGAAGATTGTGAATTTAAAGCCAACCTAGGCTACAAATAAGACCCTGTCTCAACAACCCTCTGCTATACCCACACACACCCACACACAGAATGAATCCTCACTTCCCTGGGAGGCAGACAAGAGAAAAGGGTGGGTGCTGTCTTCTCTTTAGTTTGATGAACGCAGAGTCTTGTCTTCCAAGCACCCTAGCCTGCTCTCCTGCAACCTCTCAGCGTCATCCCCTTTGCTCAGGGACCGTGAGAGCAACTTGGACATTTTCCCACTGGAAGTGACTGGCAGAGCTGTGATCACAGGAGTCTCAGCCTGATTTAGGGGCCTCTGACACACAAAGGACACATACCATATGCTGGAAAATGACCACCTTGCTTTCCAAGCAAACCATCCTTGACATATGTGATCAATACGTTTGAAATCAGTGGACCCTGTGAGAGATCTCTCTAATAATAGCCTTTTCATTGTCAATCAGTCTATCATCAATTTTTTTTTAATTTGTAAGAGGAAAGAATTCACCATCCTGAATTCTCATTAGCAGCAACTTGTGTATGTATCCAAACTATGTAGCATGGCCTGTGAAGACCTTTGCAAATGGCCTTGTTCTTGTGACTCATGCTTTCCAGACCTTGAGTGCAATTCCTTCAGTAATTGGCCTTGCTCTTATACTCATATTGAGAGATAATTATCTTTCCTTCTCTTTTTTTTCCTTCCTTCCCTCCCTCCCTCCATCCCTTCCTTCCTTCCCTCTGTCCCTCCCTTCCTTCCTTCCTTCCTTCCTTTTTCCCTCCCTCCCTCCATCCCTTCCTTCCTTTCTTTCTTCTTTCTTTCCTTCTTTCTCTTTCTTCCTCCCTTCCTTCCTTCCTCTCTCTTTCTTTCTTTCGTTGGTACCTGTCCTGGGGCTTGAACTCAAGGCCTGTGGGCTGTCCCTGAGCTTTTTTGCTCAAGACTAGCACTCTACTACCTGTGCTACAGCTCCACTTCTAGCTTTGGGGTGATTAAATGGAGATAAGAGTCCTACTGACTTTCCTGCTCAAGCTGGCTTTGAACTGCAGTCCTTAGATCTCAGCCTCCTGAGTAGCTAAGATTAAGTATGTGAGCCACTGGCATCCAGGCAGGCGGCTTTCTTTCTCTCTTTTTTTTTAAGCAGTCATGGGGCTTGAATTCAGGGCCTGGGTGCTATCTCTGAGCTCTTTTGCTCAAGGCTAGTGGTCTACCATTTTGAGCACAGATGCACTTCCAGGTTTTTGGTGGTTAACTGGTTAATTAAGAGTCTCACCTGAGCTGGCTTTGAACTGTGATGCTCAGATCTTAACCGCCTGACTAGATAAGATTACAGGTATGAGCCACCAGTGCACTCCAGATGGCTTTCTTAAATGCCACCTTCACTTCCTCTTCTACTACCAGCTGCAACGACCGGCCCTCCTCTCTTCCTCTCCTTCCTTGCCTGCAGCATCTGAAGGCTGCTCATAGAAGGCTGTCTAGATGGGCAACTATGTGACGATGCATTTGTTACTAACATCAAGCACACCACAGAGTGGAAAAGTGGATACTTTCCAGTTATCACAGTAAATTAAAAGCAAGGTGTAAGGTTTAAGCAAAGACAGAATTACAACCCCTTGACCCCAAACTAAGAACTAACAAAAATCCATTTTCATATAAACCAAGTAAACACTAGTCTATAATCTTTTACCTATAATTCTGAAACCCAAATTGCTCAGGGAGGTAAATACACACACACACACCCCTACATAAATTTATAGCCAACTATTTGACAATAAAATAGGGATTTTACCAGGGAACTGAGATATTACTGATCATATTTAAGAGTAAGCCACAGTTTAGGATGCCAGAACATAAGTGTATTTGATTACAAAAATGAAGCTGAGATCTGCAAAGGGCCTGGGGATCATTTTATTTGCAAACTCTGCTCAGGTGAGCATCAACTATGAGCCAGGACTATGGCAAGGCCTGGTGATACAGAACTGTAGCCTGGCTTTAAAGGGACCTCTGATGTCAATAGAAGCCCCCTGTGTTACCTACCTTGAGTTACAAAGCGCACACCACGACAGCTCCTACCTGGTTTACGGTGAACCCGTGGATCTTTTCCCCCACTTTATATTGCAGCGCTTTCTCACAAGCGTTGATGCTCTTCTCCCTCCATATTCTGGGTTGTGCACTGCTGTATTTAAGAAAAGTCATTAAAGTGAGTTGATTTTCAGGCAGGGTCCTGTAATTCGGAAACACACGGAATGATTGCTGTGTGAAGAGATGATTGAAGAAAAAAAGATTGCATTTTCGAAAACTGTGGACATTACAGAAATAAGCTCCAGTAAAATTTCCACTTCAACCTTTTAAGGGGACTACAATTATATTTTATAAGATGTGGGTTTGCTGGGCATCAATGGTTTGAGACTATTATCTGAAGTATCTCAGGAAGCTGAGATCTACAAGATCAAAGTCAGCCCAGGCAGAAAAGTCCATGAGACTCAGTCTCTAAAACAACTAGTAAAAACAGCCAGGTGATGCTCAAGAGGTAGTGAGCAGCCAAAGAAGCAAGCTATAGGGATGTAAGGCTCTGAGTTCAAACTCAGACACCAGCAAAGTAAAACAAAAATTGTGGGCCACTTAATGTTGAGTAACAACAAAAGACAATGTTTTACTTTTTACAGTATTATTCTGCACAGATATAATTTAAATAGGTAACAATTGGTGATGGTGATTTAACTTTTTTTTTCTTTTTGGTGCCAGTGCCGGGGCTTAGATTCAGGGCCCAGGCGCTGTCCCTGAGCTTTTGTGCTCCAAGGCTAGTGTTCTACCACTTATGTCACAGCTACCACTTTCAGTTTTTTGGTGTTTCAAATTGTAGATAATCTCACAGACCTTCCTGCTTGGATTGGCTTTGAACCAAAATCCATCCTCAGGTGAGCTATGACTTGCTGTTAAAATAATTATTCTTTCAAATTATAAGATTTTCTATAAAATTAACATTGTAATTCAGAAATATTTATTTTAATATTTTACATGTACAGGGAAAAATCCCCACAGATTTGGCTATTAGCAACTTAGCAAAGTATGCTAACATCCACCCACAATTCCTTACTGATTTAGCAAATTCTACATTATGAACTACTCCAAATTCCGAAGTATTTATCATTAAGAGTACGAAATGTATGAAAACCCTGAGAAACATAGGTGTTTTTTTCCCTCCTACACACCTGAATAACATTCCCAATGCCAAATTCAAGCCCTCCATTAGGGACCCTCCCGCCTCTGACTAATACCCCACACTTCTACACCTGTTGCATTAGCTAAACTGCACTATAAACGAGGATTTTGTGCATCAATATGAAAACCAAAGACTTCATGATCTTTATTTTCCCATAACCAGAGTCACTTAAAATAAGTTCAAGTTCAGGAGGCTCCGATTTAATGTAAACATAGTAGCCCGAAGTTATTAAGCAGCATCTGCGGAAGCCTGAGGCCTCTCGGCCGCCCCTCAATAATGAAATTGGAGGCCCTCTATTAACGAGCGCCATAAACTCTAATTACTTTTATTACACATGTGAAAATCCACATCACTTCAAAAAGCCCTGACACCCCCACACAGGGATGCCCCAGGGAAAGTGGGTCAGGCCAGCTCCTCAGACCTGGTTCCCCTTCAGATCACAGGGTTCCAGGGGCAGCACCCCAACCCTAGAAAGTGGGACAGACCTCTCGGGGGTCGGGATCGCCCTGCCATCCCTCCCCGCAGGCCCTGCCGGGGTCCTCAAGCTGAGATCTGAGGTTCTGGATTTTCATGGGGGTGGGGGGGGGAGGGCGAAGGACGAGTTTGGGCTAAAAGTTTCAGACAGCGGTGTCACGGTGCTGGATTCCCGACAGCGGCCCAGGGGATCCGGAGCCCCCAGCCCTGGTAGCTGTCCCCCCAGGCCCAGGGATGGGAGTCCCCGGCGACTCCAGCCCGCGCCCCGCCACCCACCTCCCCGGTCCCAGCGCCCCAGTCGCTCCAGCCTGTCTCACCCTCCGTTCAGCCGCCGTAGCACCCCAAGACTCTGTCTCCCGCCGCAGCGCCACATGGCTTGGTGGTCAGTGCTGGGTTATCCAGGGGTTCAGTCCTTAAAGCGACGCACGGCGCGGGGGCGGATCACGACTGCCAGGGCTCCCATTGGTCAGCCGAAACAGAAGCTTGCTCTCCGATTGGCTGGCGATGAAAAGGGCGGGTTACCCTGCTGGAAGCTCAGCCTCGCGGGAGGGACAGGGCCTGAAGGGGCGGGGCCGGAGGGCGGGGGGCGGGGCCGGAGGGCGGGGGGGCGGGGCCTGAGGGCGGGGCGACGGGGCCGGTGAGCGAGTGCTGGACCGCGGCAGGGCTCTGCGTGGAGCGGTCGCAGTGGTGGACGAAAGGCCTGTAGAGGAATACGGAGCGCGAGGCGAGAAGGTGAGGTTTGGTGAGACGAGGGATCCCACAGGAAGGTGCAAGATGCATTTACAAGTGAGGGCATGGAAGAAGGATCTGACTTGTGTGGGTAGGGGCGGAGCATCTTCAGGTGGGCGTGGCCGGTGTTGGCAAGGGGCGGGGCGTAGCAGCTGAGGGGCGGGGCGCGCTGTGCAGGAGGCCTGCAGCCCCCCAGGTGATGATCGGGCCCGGCTGGGAGCCTGCAGTCTGCACCTGTGGCCTGCAAGACTTCCAGAGTAGCTCTGGGCCCCCTGCTGGAGGCTGGGGCGAGGCTCCAGGAGGCCCGAGCACCCCGGGGTTGGGCCTGGAGGGACACAGGGATTGTCTTTCTGACTCAGTTTCTCCAGGCATTCGTGCCTTCGCTGCCCGTTTCTGCTCTGTCTTCCTTCTGTGGGACAGGCCCACCCTCGTGGCCCTCCTCCTCCCGTCGAATGATGCTTGCAATCCGTGTAAAGACTTGGGGCCATATCCCAAGGAAGAGCCACCAAACGTCCCCACAGTGGAGTCGGTTGTGTCGTTCACTGAGTTCCTTCTATGGATGGATCCAAATGAACCCGCAAAGCAGGCTATCGTGCGAAGCAAGGCGTACAAGCTCCGTGTCCGCAGTGCCCTTGTTCTAAAGAGGATTCGGAGTACATGCAAACGTCTCATCACATCTCTGTGATCTTGGGGAGACAGCTGGGTGTTATTAAACCTACTTTGAGCATGCAGGAAATCAAGCACTGGAGTGGGGGATGTCACGGTATTTCTCCCTCTCTCTGAAGAATAGATGATAGATGCCATATAAACCCAGTAATTACCCCTTACTGGTAGGTTCTCATAGCGTACAGTCTTACTGATGGTTAAACTAGATACACACAGCAACAATTTATAAGTACCTTGGGTAGCACTTGACCTTGTTTTAAGGTTTATACATAATCTCAATGTGTGGTAACACAATTCAGTTCAGCAGTGAAAACTCAGAAATAAGGTGATTGGCTATGTTCTGAGAGCAGATCCCTATGTCGTAATGAAAGAAATCACTGTTTTGGCAAGATTAGCACATGTCTTTTTTTAAAAAAAAAAACAGGTTAGATGGTATTTGGCCTTTACAGAGGTAATGAAGTGACTATTGGGGTGTTAGGGCTTGGTATCTCCCCTAAAAGAGTTTGGAGACTTGATTTCCCCTACTTCATAATGTAAATGCATTTGGAGATTTTTTTACAGAAGTGATCAAGCTAACATGAGGTCATCCAGGTGACTTCTACTCTAATATTAGGAGAATTTGGATGCAGAGACAATTTGTTTTGAAGGCTGCCTTTCCCACTCTCTTACCTTCCTTTCTCACCATGTGACCCCTTCTGTATGTGGCAATTTTCCTTCCTGCTTCCCCCATTGTGACATAGCCAATCAGTTTTTCACTAGAGCAGAACAGAGGGGCCAGCTTATCTTGGGTTTTCAGCCTCTAGAACTGTGAGTGACACAAACCTTTTTTCTCTGTGAAGTTCATAGCCTTAGGTAGCAACAGAATGTAGCAACAGAAAACAGACTCATTCATAAAGCTATAGTAAACAAGAGAGGGGGATTGTTGTCACGGAAAGAGGCAAGCAGGCTAAAGGCACAATGGAGAAAGCCAGAAGTTGACATTCCCCAAAGTAAAGCCATACTTCTATGCAGAGGTGTGATATATGACAGAAAACATTCACAGAGAATAGATTCAATCCATGTTGTAATTTATATGGGTAAAATCAAAGCTACTTCAAATTACCCTCTACCTACCTCAAGGCCACAGGATAGTGTTTTATTTTTTATCTAATAGAAGAAATTTACTCTTTTTTCCCTCCTGATTTGGTGTTTCAACTCAAGACCTTGTGTAGTGGGACTGGTGCTCTACCACCTGAACCACATCACTTGCAGTCCACATTGTGCTGGTTAATTGGAAACAGAGTCTCACAGTCTTTTCAATCTGGGTTTACTTGGAACCACAATCCTCAACTTCCTGAGTAGCTATTACAGGTGTGAGCCACTGGCACTAGGCAGTTTTACTGTTCTTGCTCATGCCTTAAATATACATAGTTTGAAAGTTGTTTCTGCTTCTCTTTATAGAAAAAAAAACAAACAAATATCCGTAAGATTTGAATGGCCTCAGAACAAGTCATTACTTTGGACCCTCATCTTCAAGTAACTGTTCAAATGAAGTTTAAGCCTAAAAAAGACCTCTGGCCTTCTGTCATTATTCACATGTGTTTAACAATGCTTCTGCTACTTTAATAGGGGAGTCATATTTTGAGATCATCTGATCAGCAACTGTAATTTCACCTGCAACTTCATCATTGTTCCTTGTGGTACTGAAAATTGAGTGTACGGCCTTGCATGTGCCAGGTAAGTGTGTGAGCTCCACCACTGAGCTGCTGCCACAACCCTCTATCTGCAACCTTAACTTTTCATAGCTTCTTCTCATTACCTACTTACAAGTTTAAAGGATCAACACGCAGACATATTTGGGCACCTACTCTATGTCTACCTCAATGTTAAAGTCATATAAAATTCTAGAACAATCTTCAAAATCTAAAATATGTAATTGTACATATAACAAAATTAATATCTTACTAATCTACTGTTATCATGAACAAAGTGATCAGATTTACATTCCTCAAAAGATAGGCCATCTTTTGAGGTCCATTTATATACCATTTATATTTATTTTTTCTCTTTAGGTTATTCTTTCCAAACTTCTTCCTTCGATTACATTTAGTTCTCTATATCTTTACTGCATAGATTAAATGTGAAGTTTCTGTTGCAAATTATTGGTATCATCAGGAAGACATTCTACAACTTTCTACCTTACTTGTAGGAATGAGGAATGTTGATGTCCTTGACAAAGAAGGAAATGAACAGTATAATTGAGTTTTTTTGACATTTTTTTGAGGTTTGAAACAGACACCTGCCTGTTATAGAAAGAATAAGTGGTACCAAATCAGAGAATGTTGGAAGGAAAGGAATACCCATGATAGCATTTATTCACTGTTTTTATGCATTATTATCTGTGCCAATGAATAATATTCATCAGTAAAATGTCTTTTCGGTGGAAACAAGCCAGAGGCAGTAACATTTTAATAGAACAGAAAGCTCAATGGGAATAATACCGTTTTTGTTACTTCTCAATTTTTGTTACTTCTCTAGTATGGGAATTGAACCCAAGGCCTAGCTACAAATGAGACAAATGCCCTACTATGTGAGTGGACATGAGTCACTCTCCCAGCTCTTCATTTCAGTCTTTTGTTTTTGTGTCAATACTAGGTCTTGAACTCAGGGTTTGTCACAGTCTCTTAGCTGTTTTGCTCAAGGCTAGCTCTCTACCACTTGAGCCATAGCCCTACTTCTGGCTTTTGGATGGATAATTGGAGATAAGAGTTTCCTCATTGTTCCTGCCCCAGCTGGCTTTGAGCAATGATCCTCGGATCTCAGCCTCCTGAGAGATGGAAAATAACTTTTAAAAAACACTCCCTTTTCCCCATGACAGCCATATCTTAAGGCTGTTCTTGCTGTACCTCCCTGAATCATTTCCGCTTCCTCCTCCCCAAACATACCCTGCAACTGTAGGCTGTCAAAAACCTTTTGTTGACAAATTGGCTAAAAACAAATGATGTAAATAACCCTTTCCCTATAACTCAAGTTAAGATTCCATCTTTGCACCAAAAGCCCCTTCCTCTGTTCCCATCCCATGCTCCCACCCATGACAAACTACCCCAGACCACTGCCTGGCCTATCTTCACTCTATTTGCCTAATAAAAGGAGACTTAAGTTATAAGAGAGCATGACATTGTCTCTCCATTCTGGCTGGAAGACTCTGACATCCCTTTCAGGCTTTTATCCTGAAATAAGAACTAGAAGTCTGTTGGGGCGTTGAGTTCTCTGACTCCACAGACTCAGTTTCCTCATACCGAGTAGCGAGAATTACGGGCATGAGCCACTGGCAGCCAGATTTCCACCTAGTTTTTAGGAGACATTTTGAGTATATGAGTCCTTAGAAAACTGTGCCAGGGAACTGTAAGTCTAATCTTAAGAGAAACATCAATGCCATCAGTAAACTTAGTGATGCTGTCTTGATTGTCATTGCAATTAATCTGGACCAACTAATTAGTGATCTGATTAATTTCCTCATTAGGGCCATGTTCCTCTGAATTAATTCCAACAGGGTTCACTCGTTGTACAGTATGAGATTTAGCTTGCAGATGCATATACGGTGGATTTATAGATTCATTTACTTAATTAGAAAACCTGGTTTTTAGGATGCAGTTTCTTGTCCATGATCAATCATTCTGTGAGATGAGGCTGGGCTTCAACATTATGATTTATTCGATTTATTCTTACTCAATGGAGCTGGTCTGTGATGAGATACATAATGTAAATGAAAGGACAGGTCAGTGGCTCTCCCTCTGCGGGGGCCAGCTGTACCTATGTCATTGGACAGAGGTGTCCCACCTCTGGGCTGCATAGGACTGACTCCATTTTCTGGTTTACCATAAGGAAAGGTCAGATGCTGAAATGCACTTCCTTAAATCACTGCACCTTAGACAACTCAATTATGGTTTCTAGTGCATCAGCCTTCAATCCTTTCCCAAAATACAGACACCACAGTCTCTCCTGGCATGGCT